CATTGGAGGAAAAAATAGGAGTTGTTAGCTTCTTCTGTTTGCTTCGGAATTCAAAAAAGCTAATCCCAAAGTTAGGGCGGAAGTGGTGTAGTGACAAGTGGCGCGCTTACCACGCGAGCGGTCCGGGATCAAATCCTGGGTCGTGAGTCGCCCGGGCCAAACCAAGCCTTCCATCCCTCCGGGGTCGGTTAATTGGTACCAGACTTGTCTGGGAGGATAAAAACACTGACTTGAACATCGGCTGGCCCCCGCAAGTCATTGTATAGGCCACATCGCATTCAAATGCCACTGCGAATGTACAAATGGAAGTAGAATGCGTGCCGCATCCCAAAAGGGATTGATCAACGGCAAATGCTTTATCCTTTATCCTTTATACCGCAAAAGGTAAGATTAGTTTTGTATAGCTCAGTGAATACTTCTGATAAGAAAATGCTGCAAGATTTGTGAAAAACTGATCCGAAGTTGAGGGTGATGACTCTATCATCAGCAGGCTCAAATCGTGCTTAATCTCTATAGGTTGCAGTTACTAGTACTCTTCATACATTTCCACTCGATAATTTCGCTTACTTTTGTTGTTTCGCGAGCCGACAATTTTCTGGACTACCTTTCCCCTAACCAGAAACCAGGTAAGTTTGACCACCCAGAGGACTTACCACCTCTGCAGTAACACAAGCCAGGAAGGAATCGTGAATTCCTCCCAAACAACGATCCCTTTTTTAATTTATTTTTTATTTTGCAATTTATTTGTTTATTTGCTTTGCAATGGAAGGAATGAAGAAATATAATAACAAAATTGAAAATAAACAATTGTTTTTCTTTCCTTCTTTGCGGGACTTCCCTTTTATTTGTATTTGCTTTTGTAAGCAATCCCAATGTCATTTTAGACGAATCAATGGAGTAAGATGAATGAATACACAAATTTAGGCGCTATCGCAAGATACAGGGGCATTGTGGTGACATATGCATTTATAACCGCGTAAAACATCTCCTTTTTGTTAAACAATGAGACTCCAGCCTAAGGCAGGGGGAGAGCTGACCTTCGAGTGTGCGCGCTGTTTTCATTTTCCCCTTTTTTCCCGAGAAATTTCCTGTCCCTATACTATGATCGCTTAGTCCTAAAGATGCTCCTAGTATTCTGCTGAAGACGCATAACATTTACTTCTCGAGATCGAGAGTAAACTAGCTTTGATCCCTCTGAAACCGCTTAATTCGAATCATACCTGTCTGGTAGGACAGAAAATTTGATTTGTACATACAACTACTACTAATTGAAATGCGACCGCGATACTGTATGGCTAAAGATTTCATGGCGCATCCCTAAAGGGGTTGATCGACCGTCGAAATTACCCGACAATCGTGTGTGGCTTATAACATTTTATTATGAATTTTGCGATCTAGTACCCTTTCTTTTGATGATATGCTCGTCAAACCTTCTTTGCTCATATTCTCTCTTTGGTTACTTCCTACTAACCGCCGGGGATTTTCACTTGCCAACCAATCGATAAGAAGCAGTGGCCGTCGTGCCCTCGGAATGGCCATATCAACAAGTTGGTGGCCCCGACGTGCTCTGATGATCCCATTGATGAACTACGTAAGAGGTCAGTCGATTTGCGTATGAGGTCGTCACACGGTGCTCCGGCAAAGTGACGGACGGCCCTTCCATCAAATCGTCGCCATTAGGATCGGCTGAGGTCAAATGCGAACACCTAGATAGATGAGTCCCAGAGGTAGAAGAGACGACCCGTACAGGTGATGCCTGCCAATGGCGACACTCCTCACATCCTATTACAGTCGCTCTTATCGCATCTGCCATGGAGATGCAGAGTGGAAAGAGGTGAGGAGTGCGGTGTGTTCTGCACTCATTAAGCTGTAAAAGAACAAGAAACCTGTAGAAATAGTTCTCTTGAAGCTCGCACGTTGCCAATCTTCGCACAACCCTGCTCATCCCATTTCCTTTCATGAGGTCTTGAATCTGTAAATAGGTGCTCCAACATCGATGGAAGAAGGAAGAGACTGAGCCTGTCGGGAGCGGCAAACCTTCCGCTTTTGGTGGTGAATGCGCAATGAGCCTTACTAAGATCTAGAGGGGAGATCTTTGGACACCCACTCGATCCTTGTGGTGGTTTCTGAGGCGCAACCTAACCTCAATCAGGTGTGCTAGATCTCCTAAGAAGTCTGGTCTTTGCCCTGACCAGGAAGGTCTTTCAGGGCGTGCCAAGCTTTTTGAAAACGGTCTTTTGCATGATATAGGGGCACATGCGGGAACCACAGAACCATGGTTAATTTTTCCTAAACGGCCCTCTGAATACCAAAAAAGGGGTCCCTGGTTCGATTCCTCGTGGTGACAAACTTTTGCATTTCGAGTTGACGTGGTTACTGACGGTCCTAATTATGAATATGGCATTCATTGTTCATGCTAACTCCATTTTGCGCGAATTTTGAAACGTCAACTCGAAATGCAAAAATTTGTCACCACGAGGAATCGAACTAGGGACCCCCTTTTCTGGTATTCAGAGGGCCGTTCAGGAAAAATTAACCATGGTTCTGTGGTTCCCGCATGTGCCCCTATATCATGCAAAAGACCGTTTTCAAAAAGCTTGGCACGCCCTGAAAGACCTTCCTGGTGAGAGTAGAACACCTAATTTTTGCAGACAGAGTTTGAACGGAAATGTGAGTGCACACAGCTTCAGTAGTCGCTACGCTACCTCCACTATGACTGTACAATCGTGCAATCCCTCCGGCACTACCTTTAGCGTCTTCTTTGAAGGATAACAGTAATTCAATCTGGCCGTGGATCCCACAGAAAGCGTGTAATCCAATCCTGCAGGAACGCTTTCACAGCAATGAGACCACTTCTCACGCATCATATTACCATGAAAAAGCAGTAAAAAGCCCATCGGACGTTTGCAAAAACTGACCATTAGGTAGAAATTCGAGAAAGTGATGATGAATTTGCGACTTCAAATGAAGAAAATTTGAGCACTTGAAACGATCTCTGCAATTCCTATCAGATTTATTTTCAAGGATCTATTTATCTGAGGACAGTAATCTAGTAGCACAATTATAAGCTCTCCTGGATGTTGTAAGAAATTTTTTCTTCGCAGTTTTGATTTACAGCAAACGCTTATTCCATGCTTATTCCGGTATTGTGTTTTGCTAATATTCCCTCTTTTGGTGATGTGCAACATATCAACACCTGTTAAAAGTAGACTCGAGCTAATAACTTCGTATAGCATACATTATACGAAGTTATATATGCATAATTCGCAGACGAATCACCACCATGCGATCGCGTTTTTCACCCACATGCGGATTGGTGCAATCGGTCCTTTGCGCTTGGAGAAGAAGGTAGGTGTAGAAAATCTCTTACTTCATCCTTTCCAACGCCTTTATATAATAAAGGATAAAGGATAAAGCATTTGCCGTTGATCAATCCCGTTTTGGGATGCGGCACGCATTCTATAATACTTCCATTTGTACATTCGCAGTGGCATTTGAATGCGATGTGGCCTATACAATGACTTGCGGGGGCCAGTCCGATGTTCAAGTCAGTGTTTTTATCCTCCCAAACAAGGGTGTTACCGATTTTAGCCGCCCCCCGAGTGATGGAACGCTTGGTTGGGCCCTAGACGACTAAAACTTCGAATTAGGCGCTTGGGGAGGCGCCACTTGCAACTCCTTCATTTCCGCTGCTCTTTACATAATGGTTGAGAAAACTCCTCTCCTTAGGGCCACGGGTCGCGAAGAGGTGCCATGAGGTATTCCCTCCTAAAGTGAGGAGAGGGGAATCCAGGCTCGGGAAGCCATTTTGTGACAGCGACAAATGTTCGTTTGGCCTGCTTCGCGGACACCTGATGATTGCTGGCGGCAGGCTCGCAGAATAAAGATTCGCGTTTTTACTTTACATGGCGTCTGCTCTCTCTCGCGTACGGCGTGCTCTCTCGCATTTTTCATCCTCCGCAGCACTCTGTCTCTTCGTCATAGCACGACCGACTTCACAAGGGAAATTTCAATGTTTTCTAGGGCGCTTTTTGCTTTTTTCTCCGTACTCACATCCCTCACGGCTTTGTCAAAATATTAACAAACAAAATAAACAACAATTTCTTTACCCAACTCATACCTTTAGGTATAACAGAGATAAACATTTATACAGACCAAAAAAGCAAAAGCTAGTCGTTTCCCAGGCAAAGCTCGGTACTGTTTGGGAAGCACCACGTACTTGACTTTGCTGAATTTCGTGGAAATATTCGATTGCGTATTTATCCTATGCAGCATACTACAGTACCACACATTGATAGCAAAAACGTAACCATTTATTGCATTCTTTATTATTCACAATACTTCTTTCATCAACATTCCGAAATCACAGGATCAATCAAATCGGGAATCATTTCAGGGGAATTCAAGAGACTTTAATTGTGTCAGGAACCCGGAAAGAACTGAAGGAATATTGGAGTCGCAGTGAAGAGGTAACCACTAGTAGTAGACAACTGTAATCACATAGACTAGTAGATCCAAATGCAGAAGTGAAAAACACGTGAATAAGTATTGGATAAAAGGTGGGCACGTCGGACGCGAGCGGTCGCGGAGCGACCTGCGTCAAGACTCGATCGATATGCCATCCCTTGAACTGTACATAATACAATGCTCGAGCGCATGGAAGTTTCTATTCCTGGACATACTCTAGAGGGGTTACGTCAACTAAGGCTATGCATTCACCTGGACGGTTTATACAACAGATCATCCATTTTAAACAACACAAATTACGGATTATATACATACAGATAAATTTTCAAAGTTTTTGGGAAGCTCAACAAGCTTTCCAGGAGATGCTTCAACTCAAGCCTTCCGGATATGGACCAATTTTGAATGGATCTTGAGATCAAATCATGAGGAATACAAGAGATAACATTAGTATGACCAGTCATTCAGGAGACATCTTATGGGCTAGGGGCCATAGACGGAGGTCAGGTTGAATTATGCGGCAATTCCGAGACAATTCATACTTGCTCAGCGTTTGTAGTGGCCGAAGGCGTTTGCAGCTTCATCGTCAATCGACTTTGAACAATCCTTTCACAGCATCGAAGAGAAATCACAACCAGACCACCGTATAAAAGTAGAATCGCATCTGAATTGAGCACAGAACAGCTTATATACTTTGTTTCCCGTCGAACGACCGGTCGTAATCACAGACTGGGCGACACATGTGGCAATGGCTTCAAAAAAATCGATAACGTAAATCGTGCTTTTTGATGCTTTCGATGTCACGTGTGATTACATGTAATGTACATGTCTGCATTTCTGACCGTCCTAACATTAACAGCAAGCTGGGACCAAAATCACCCAAAAATATGTGCAATCACAATTCATTTGGAAGAAGCAGCAGTAATTGAAAGAACCTACCTAGAAGAATTGCGAATAAGACCCATTCGAAGAGCACTTCTTTTGGCATTTCGCCGACGAGTACGTACAATACCACGGAGAAGACAATCGTGGTGATCCTGGAACGGTTACTTCTCAGGTTGCTAAGGCGACTCGACGAAAAAAAAACGGGATGGTTCGATGTCAAGGTGTTTGCGCATGGTGGATGTGCGGGAAGCGGGCGCAAGACGTGAGGCATTGTGACAGGAGCACTACAAGGCGATTTTCAAACTCACCGACAATCATTCTCGTTTCATACACAGTCTCCTCTCGACAATCGATTTGCGTTCACCTTATCGGAGTTATGTAACGTAACCCCTTCCCCGTCCCCCCCTCCGCCCCTCCCCTTGGGAGAATATAATGGGGATTGCCGAGTTTGTTTAACGTCGGTGAACATGATTTTGACCATCGTTTTGTATGCTTAGGTCCTTTGGACGGAAGTCACATGCGCTCTACAGCAAAGCCATTCGGAGCTGACATGAGCCGTTCGGTTGTCATTTCGGAGTTCTTAGGCCAAACTAATGGATCGATTATGCGGTTTAGAAGGGGGGGGGGGACGTGCGGCGTGTCGCGTAGGAAGTTATTTAAATAGCATCTCAACGGGGATTATATACGAATTTCGGAGGGGGAACCGGTACTTTCTTCAGTGAAATGAGAAATGAATAGCAAATTTTTCTTTCGAGATTGGTCATCAAGCTTTCCTGAAGGAATTTTGTGTGTTTTTTGTTTATTCTTGCACATAAGCCTGTGCCTTTGCGGTCTTCTTAGTGTTCCCGTGAAGTACAAATGTTAAAACATCGAGCTATGGGAAGGATGGGAGCATGCGCTTTCCGTGCACAGTGCCTTTAAGTTCTGATGCAGATCAATGGAACTCACGTGTATACAAAACCGATGACCAGAAGGAGAATGTCTAGTACGAGGTGCGATACGAAGAGACTTCGCCGTGCGACACATACCCCGACCAGGTAGGGGAAGAGGGTAAGAAGCTGACATGCACACCACAAATCGAACATGGTACGAGCGATACATGTCGCAGATGAGGAGAATGTTGACAGTTGCGACTGAAATTGATAATTTCTGTCTATTTTTGTTTCATTCTTCATTATTGAATGAATTTTCTAGTCCTTCTACGACTTCAGTTTTTGAATAGTAGCTCACGAGTATAATTGAGAATTAATTTGGTTTTACTACTAACACGAGTAACTAGTAAAACTCGTACGAAAAGAAAATAACATCATAAGAACCTGAAAATTGCCGTTCCTCGGGACATCTTCATGCTGTTGTTCGTGTTGCATTGGAAGGTTGTCTGGAGGATAGTTAAATATTCCGGAATCGATGGCTTTGTCAAGGCTTCGATCGAAACCGTGCTTCACCGGACGAGGTAGCGGTGTTGTTGGCAACTAAAGAACTGAACTTAGGTTGAATTTGGTATTGAATATTATTCTGTTGGAAATGCATCCTTCCTTCTTTTTCAAGTGGTATTGAGGGATAATCTCTTTATGTTCCTTCCTTTATAATATATACTACAGTGCGTTTCAAAAGTATGTGCACACCCTCAA